GGTTTTCTCGAAAAACCGGGCTCCGCCGGAGCAGAGTTTCTGAGCCGAAAGGCTCTTTTCTTGGGGCTTTGGGAGCCTCGGGGATTCCTTCGGGTGCTAGGGGGTTTACCTAGACTTTAGGGGTGGTTAGGGAGCTTAAAGAGAGAGTATAGAGAGAGAAAGAAGAGGGTTGAGGGGTGAGGAAATGAGGGAACCCGACACTCTTATTTATAGGCTGAATTCCTGATGGACTCGCCGATTTGGGTCACTGACTCGCCGATTCAGTGCCATGTGTCATCACCTGATGGCTTTTCTTGGGGGAGAAAGCCTTGGCCCATATTCAGCCACGTCACCCGATTTCGCACATCACCCTGCCGACTTCTAGACCCCGTAACTTTCGCATATGAGCTCCGTTTTCGACGTTTAGTATAACCACGCGTAGGTAAAAACACGATCTACGACTTTGATTTAGACTCCATTGGCTAATTATCGACCGATCTCAAATTTAACAGTAGGAGGAGATTAGACTGTTAAATGACCGCGAAAAATTCGTAACTCCTTCATACGGACTCCGTTTTCGTCTATCTTTTTATCGTTGAGTTCCTATTAAGGAGATATTCAACTCTCATTTAGGTTGTGTAGGCCAAAAACCACTCGAACTAAAATTCGAGTTTCGGGTCGTGCACCGCTATGTCAAATCTTAGAAAATTCATAACTTCCTCATACGAAGTCAGATTTGGGCGTTCTTTTTTTGTATGTTCTCGGTTTAACGTATACTACAACTTTTGTTTAGATCACTAAGGCTAAAAAGTCATCTATCGTAAATTCACTATTTATGTCTCCCGGTGTCGTGTCGGTTTTGCCGAAAAACTTCGGCGTGTCATAACTTCTTCGTTATAACTCGGATTTTGGTGTTCTTTATATGTACGGAACCGTTGAGACATAGTCTAAAATTTCTTTAAGATTATTTATTCTAAATAATCTTTTGTCGAAAATTCGTTTTCGACCCCTATTATCTCTAAATTGACTAGCCCGGATCTACGGGCGTTACACCGCAACTACAAATACCATGGTCTAATTGCACGGATTCGATGGTTGAATACTTACTCACTTCATATCTGTCGCCAACAATATGCCTACTCCTACAACCATCGGAGTGGATAAATCTTTTATGAAGCACCTTAAGTGCATAAGGGGTTAGAAGACCATGAAAATCCCCTGTGAAATGAACTGAATGATAAAACAAAAATTATGATGTCATAATGTATAATAACATATCATTTGACCATTTAAGTTATGTCATAACTTATAATTACCTCTGAATGCAGCACGTTGAACATACATTGCTTGCATCGAGTCATGGACCATTTCAATGATTGTTGTTATTGGAAACTCATGCCTGTTTGTTCTTATCCAATTGACATCATCGGAAATTTCAATGAATTTAACATTGAAACGTACTTTATGGAAAAAAGCCCATACCCATTTTTGCAATGGGAATATTGTCAAGCCAATCAAGATCATTCCCATTCACCTCATTTTGTAAGTTGTTAAAACATGCATGAAAATCAGACATATTATACGCTTTACAAGTCCTCCAGAACAACTGCTCTACAACTGTATTGCTTCCGGTGGAAGCGCGTATTTTCTCAGCTATATTTTTACAACAATAGTCATGATATGAATAAGGGTAGACTCTTTGAACTGCAAAGTCTATGGAATCAGGCATATGGCTTATGAAACCAATTTCCGTATTGTTACCTAAACATTCTTTAAGCCTCCTCATAAACCATAACCATGAATCGTCACAGTTTATGGTTCCCAAAGAAAACCCTATGAGAGGGGTTCATGATTTCCATCTAAAGCAACCGCAATGTACATGGATGTTACGTACGTCCCAATTAGAGGTAATTGACTAACGAATATGATTGGTATCATAGTCATGAGAAACGTACGGATCTTCAAGTGAAGATAAGAATATTAGCCATATAACAACTTCAGATAAGTAAATATTTACTATAAGGGATTACATACCACGCATCCCAATGCCACAAAACAAATTTTGAAACGATTGTACTGATCTTTCGTAATGCACGTGAATGTGTTAGGATTGGTTCTTTGCAGATTATGGAAAAAACTCGGTAGGTTGGAGAAACTTTTTCTTAATACCTGATTAACTGAACTCATTTTCACAACTTTCGACACCTTGTAAAAATGAAAATGGTTGTCCAATTTAAAAGGAATCAGTATACATTATTCCGCAGAACTGAGTTGATAGTCCGCATAACTGACTTGTCAGTCCGCGTAACTAATTTTTCAGTCCGTGTATCCTATCTTTTTATATATAGTAAACCTTGTCATTCCGTGTTACTGACTTGACAGTCCACATGACTGACTTTTCAGTTCGTATAACTGACTTTTCAGTCCGCGTAACTAATTTGGCAGTCTGCGTAACTAACTTGGCAGTCCGCATAACTAACTTGGCAGTCCGCATAACTGACTTTTCAGTCCGCGTAACTGACTTGACAGTCCGCATAACTGACTTGTCAGTCCGTATAACTGAATTCTCAGTCCGCGTAACCGATTTGGCAATCTGTGTTACTGACTTCACAGTCCGCATAACTGACTTGGCAGTCTGCATATCTGACTTGTCAGTCCGCGTAACTGACTTGAAAGTCCGCATAACTGACTTGTCAGTCCATATAACTGACTTCTCAGTCCGCGTAACTGATTTGGCAGTCCGCGTTACTGACTTCACAGTCCGCATAACTGACTTGGCAGTCCGCGTAACCTATCTTTTTATATATAGTAAACCTTTTATCTATATGAAATTCACATCTTTAATTGACAATAGAGATCATTTCACAAAATGGCGTCCAATGTACCAACTTCTTCAAATGCAGCAAATCCGTCAAATGCGTCAGCTCCAACAAATGGTACATCTCCATGGACGACAACAAAGGTGTTGGTCTTAACACGATGCTGGATTACCGTTTATGAGGGTCTACCAGTAATGACCCCCCTTAATTGCCTTGTTGGTGATGAATGGTCCCGCCTAATAGCTTTGTTCAACTATGAGGTGGGACAAGGACAAGAACGACTAAAACCCGATATTGTTAGTAAATGGATGGATTTAAAGAATAAAGTCACATGGTTCAGTCGATGCTAAAATTATGAGAAAATGCGACGCTCTCATGCAGACGATGAAGAACTTCTTGAAGACGTGAACGGATATTACCTGTGCAAGTTTGATGAAACTGATTTCGAGTATACGTACGTTTGGAATCTAGTTAAAAATAAACCTTTTTTTATGTACGCGACTTTTTTATTTGTAATGTTTTATGTAATGTTTGTTAGTCGTACATCTTATTCGTAATGTTAATTTTTCTGTTTTTTTAATGTTATATTATTTGTAATGTTTATTTTGTTTGAGTGTATCGTATCGTAATATTTGTTGGTGCATTATGTTTCAAAAAATAAAGGATAAATAACATAATAAACACGCAAATAAAAACTCAACCATATTACATATAAATAAAGCAATACAAGAACAATACAAAACGCAATACTAGTTAAAAATACGAGAGATTTTTCATAATATTCCAAGGGGCTTCATAGTCGAAACTCTCTCCGTTGCTAATAGATTTGTATTCTTCTTTAGCCGCCCCCAAGATGTCTTCTTCAGTATCATTCACACGTCCGTATTCAATCTTCTTATAAAGATCGTTGAATAACACAACTTCTGTTTTTCAATTCATACCATTTTGCTGCTATATCAAGCGTGTTGTGATGGTTTTCTATGGTGTTTTCAGCGTCAGTGTTGAAGGTATTGGTTAAAAGGAGCCAAAACATTCTATCATTCAATCTGCTGTTCTCGTAGACATTAATATATGCATGAGTTAGAAGCAAATACTCCTTAGCGGTCCATGGTTTTGAACCCATTGTAAAATTTACAAACTAGATGAAGTGAAATAGATTAGATGAACTGATACACATTTTTGAGTCGTTTTATATAGACATGACAGTCCGCGGAAGTGACTTGGCAGTCCATGAAACAAATATAATAACAAAAATAAATAAAAATAAAACACATATTTGTATTAAACAAAATTACTAAAAACAAGTATTTCATATTAATATATACAAAGTTCCTAAAACCAAGTTATATAGTATCCCAAATAATATTTGACATCCTATTTCTATAGAGAAATCCCGCATCTCTACGTGGCTTATCAATCTTCACCGGTACCCCCGAAATAATCATTTCCATAAACATGCATATGAATACTCCATAATCCCCTCTATCAAGAATATATTCCTGTTGTGGCGCGTCTACAATATCAATAAACTCCACCCTTGCTATGTCTTTGTGTCCATCGGGGAAATCGTTCCAGTACTCAATGACATCTAGCTCTGAGATAATACTATCTCCAAAACTTGTGAATTCTCCACCAGTGAAGTACTTTGAGAAGAAATTCATAGATCATGTTGAATCATAAATATCTACTTTCCAGGTATCTAAATGTAGCACTGCCATAAACCAATGGACACCAATAACATTTATGGGGAATAGAACCTGCAAACAAAAAATAAATTAAATAGTCGTAAATTCAGTAATATTATATATATAAATAAATAATTATTAAATTTAACTAACCATATCCACATCCTTCCATTTAGGACGGCCTCCAACACCATTTGCTACATTCCTAAAAAGAAATGATTTTCCGGGTTGCAAATTGAGTTCTTGAGGATATATCGTCCACCTTGCGTTCGTCGGCCGTCTTTCCATGAGCAAGGCACTCCATATCGCAATATGCTGTTCATTTTAAGATAAAAATGTTACAATTATTTATATAAATTATCGTCTAAAAAAGTAGTTAAAATTTAAATTTAACGAATGTTACCGAAGAAATTAACCACCCAGAGTCAGTAACTGCAAGTAACCTCGACCAAAAATCCACGTCCAGTAGGAGTATATACAGCCTATGTTTAGTGTTGAGTTTGGAAGAGATCATACTTCATTCTTTTGAAAAACTCAACGTACTAGCAACATAAACACTGTCCAACAAGAGATGATTTGAAACATCATTACTCTCTTCATTCACAATGTCTTCATTTGCTTTTTCAGGACTCAGCACTGCTTTTTTTTCCTTGTTTTGGTGATTTTCTTCAATTTTGGTGTGGATTGCATCTAAAAGATTAACATGTTAAATTATTATCAATAATGTAATATTTTATAAATATACCAAATTTAAAATGTGAGTTTTGTACCACTGTGAACGGAGTCCGCCACAACGCCTAGTAGACGCTTCACTAATGCCTTTGTGCTCGTCTTCTTCTTCTTTACCAACCTTGTTGATGTGTCGCTTGCCATATAAGTTCTTTCTATTTCAGGATGTTGCGAGGAAGAAGCATTTGTGGCAGATTCAGTTGAAGTTGTTTCCGACTTGTACATCTTTCCTCGAGGAGGCGAGGCAACAACAAGTGGGCTATTTCAGACCAGACTATGTTGCGGTGGGGGAGATTCTGGACTATTTCGGACCGGAGTATGTTGTCGTGGGGGAGACTCTTGATGGTTAAGAGTCCAATTCACGTAGCGAACATAAAATGACAACATCAACTCCGTCAGGTTTGCCACGACAGAAATAGGTTGGTTGTTAGGCTGCAAAAATCAGATTGTTAGTTTAACATGAAAAACCATTGGAATTTGTAAATATATATAATCCTTAATATTAAAAGCATAACACAAAGACGTTGATTATTCGACGACGTTGAAGCCAAGTTAACGGTGTTTTACTTCTCCACGACCTCATCCGTGGCAATTCTGTCGACGTGTGTATATAAAACTGGGTTGCCTCGGGGAACGTCTCCAAAATCCATATCTATGGAAAAAAATGTAAGTATCATGCTATTATAGTATACAAATCAAAATACAACGGTATTATATACTACAAACCAAAGTTCAATGTTTTTATCGTATAAAAAACAAAACTATGATAAATATTTAAATGCATTAGAAACTAACCTTAAACGGAAGCATAAAACCGGCAACGGTATACTTGTGTACTTTCTTGGATTCGGGATTGGCCTGCTTGAATAGTATAAATTCTTCTATTTTCTTAAACATTCCACGCATCAAGCGCGAAGTATAGGTCCAGAAATACGTACCCCATGCAAACCTGCAATTTTCAATTTATTTTTTATAATTATTATTATTGTATTTATACACTATCTTTAAATGTAATACCTGTTCCAATCATCTATATTATCAGAAAGCTTGTATACTGCCGCGGGAATGTCCGTTTTAACGTCCCGTCCGTGGAGACCTTTCAACATAAAAACAAGTTGGATAAGCATTATAGCATATTCATCATGAAGTGACAAATAATTCGGAGACATACTGTAGTCTTCTAAATCTTTCAGCCGCAAACGTGCATAAGAAATGTCTAGGAACAACCGATCATGAAGATTTGAATTTGACCGGCCTTTTCGTCATGGAGTAAATCCACATAAGGACCAACTTTTAAACCACAAATGAGAATATATTCAGTTTCACCAAAATCCAACTGCATCCCCTGTCATGGTTGTAGAACTCGCTACTCGGTACCTGTTCGGCTGACTACCGAGTAGCGAGTACTCAGGAGTACTCGGGGAGTACTCGAATTCGGTAATTCATGTAGAAATATTTTTAGGGAAATTATATATGTCAAAATCATAAGTTAAAACCATAAGTAGATTGAAATATATAACCAAATTAGATACATGTGAATACACAAAAACGGAAAAACACACAATGGTCCCACTTCATGAATAATTATTGAAAATTTAAGATATATATGTAGTAATAATCACATGTGTGTGTGTTAAATAATAAATCAATAATTATATTATACATACTAATCACCGAGTTGGCCGAGTTTTACAACACTGCTCGCTTCAATAAGGGGCCGACCGGGGAGTACTCGGATTCTGTAACTCGCATCGGTAAGGGGCCGAGTAGCGAGTACTCGGAAGAGTAATCGGCCAACTCAGTGAGTTTTACAACACTATCCCCTGTATATCAAAAAGATACCTCCCCATTTCAAATACTTGTTGAGACCTTACTTCGTGCAACGTCATCAAATGCACAAGTAAGGGATCACCATGTGGGATATGCATTCCTAAGAATATTCCAAACGGCGAAGCTTCGAATAATAGTCGTTGTGATTGTGTTAGACGCGAAAAATAGTCTTTAATGATAGTACCCACCACGACTTTTAAAGTTAAATCCGCTTTTTGATTGAGATCATCGTGCTACAAAACTTAACATTTAATTTCATATAAAACGTTAGTAATTGAAAATAAAAAAAGGTTTCAAAATTACTTTTCTAATTCGGTTTATGAAATAAATATCAACATACTTTTTATATATAACTAAATACCTCATATAAAGGGATATAAAAGGGCAGAAAAAAAATTGTGGAAAAAGCATTTTCAGGTCATTCCGCGGAGGCTAGAGGTCATTTCGCGGAGAACCCTCTGCGGAGTGACCTACACCTCCGCTGAGACTCAATTTTGGTCACTTAAATCATTTCACGGAGGGAATACATCACTTCGCGGAGGATCCTCTACGGAATGACGTAACTCTTCGCGGAATGGATATTCCCAAAATCGAATCCTGTGAATCCTAACATCTACAAAATCTAAATCTGTATATATATTCCATGTAATCAATTTGGTTTTCGTAACATTTGAATCATATACGACATTAATCAAAAGAGGTGAATGTGAGAAATACCCGGGAGCCGAATCCATCGGCTAAAATATCGGGGAAATTGCCCTCCATCGGTGCCAGATTTTAAGTCATATGTACTCGATTTTGCCGGAAAATGACGTCGTTTGATGTCGTTGTCGCCAGATTTGAAGTCGTCGCCGGAATCGTCGATATACACAGCCGATGTGGAGAAACGGTTTTTGCCAAAGAGGAATCGGGGAACCAGTGGGGGACCAAAGAGGAGGAATCGTTTTTGTCAAAAAGAAGAGGGTGAAATTACATAAGTACCCCTCTCCGCGGAGGATTCATTGTTCCGCGGAGGTCCGCAGAGGGTCCTCCGCGGAATTTATGTCTATATCTGGAATTGTCATTTTTCATGTCTAAATTTTGAAATTACCCCCCATTTTTTTACTATAGCCGGTATTATATATATATATATATATATATATATATATATATATATATATATATATATATATATAAGATTTCTAGGTTAAAATGGTTACTTGCGCAACTTTTTTTCTTCCTAGACTCATGTTTCCCTGTCATAGCTTCTCTAATTTCTTCATTTCTCCTCTCATACTTTCTATTTTCTTATTTTCTATCTCATTTTCTCTCTAGTTTCTTTTATAACTGGTGAAGATGTTTGGGTTACTCCAAAAGAAAGTTTATTACCTGCTGGATAACATGATTACCTGCAGAAAATATGGCTCGTTCGAGTCACGAGTTGACTCGATTCGTATGAGTCACGTGTAAAGACGAGTCACACTACTGATTTGACTCTTTTAGGGTATAAATTGACTGGACTCGTAACTCATATAAGCTAGAAAACTATGACTATATATATATATACATATATATATATATATATATATATATATATATATATATATATAAGTATATGAACAACTGATCATTCATATATGAATATGACGACAATGGTTGGTGGCGGAGGTGCCGGTGATTGGTGGTGGTTGGTGGTAGTTGGTGGCGAAACAACTAATTACCCATCCTCTGTCATGCCAGTATGATGGAAAAACTGATTACCTATCATCCGTCACGCCGGTATGACGGAACCTTTTGCGGGAAAAATGTGACATCCGCTATTTTTCATAACCGAAAAAAACTTTTCTTTACGTTTTAAAAATCATAATATCTTTGTTTGCATAAAATCTCAATATAATAAAATATTTTGCGGAAACTGCCTTGTTTTACTAAAATATCTTGAGTAAAGATGTTGTTTCAAAATACAAATCCCTAAGGATATCGTAATCAATACACAAATATGTTACAACGTAAAGACCTAACGGTCCTGAATACTATTGCAGGTTGTCTCTTAATTACCCATCATCCTAATCAATTTTCAGTAGTCTTAGCCCTGTTACATGTGATGCATATAATTTGAGTGGGTCGGGTTGGAAAACCTGGTGAGACACATAGGGTTTTCAATCCCATAATATTATTATGATAATAATCAATAATTATCAAACCTTCAAAACAAACTGTTACCAAACAATATAGATGTATCTCGTAACTTAAATATATATAAAACATTACACCCATACATACATATCCCAACCGATTCTCACAATCCTAGTCCACAATTATTAAGAGGAATCAACTCACGTGGTGTATCGTTTAGAACAAAGGTTTGACTACACATCTAGCGGCTTCTTTGGTCGGTGTAAGTCATAAAGACAATTCAAGCCATCAGAGTATTTGATGAATATGGTATCTCATCTCATATACGTATGTGGGTTATAAGTCCACACTAGCAACATAATTCACAAGATTGTCTAGAATGATCAATTGTTGTCATCTTACTCTGGTAGATGACGAGACATACCGTTTCATTGCCTGATCAGATCCACCATATTTGGTTGTCCAAAGGAATACAATATTGTACTATGATACTTAAGTTGTATATCGACACCTGATAGTGTCACATAATAGAGTTCTACTTTTCGTTCCTATCACACAGGCCTCAATATGATGCTACCCTATATCCAAACTTAATTGAACTAAGCATCCTCTTTAAATCTTAACATACAACTATACAAGGTTTCAATACCTGGAATCAACTTCCAATTCAATTTTCTGCCTATGTAATATCTTTAAAATACAAGTTACAACTAAATACTCTATTAACTTAATCTGAACTAAATATCCTTGACAACCCTTAGTTTGTACCTAGACCATTTCATTATTCGTAAATCAAATTCAAGGATTCTAGTTTAAATAAGAACATAATCACTATAATAGAATCATAAATAAAATATCAAGTCATATGCTTCAAATCAAACAATCAACATGTTTTGAACAAGAACTAGAAATTATGGTTTCTTAGCCATACATAGCTAAGAAAAAATCAACCAAAAAAAAGATGGAATTGGAAGTGTTTAATTCTTACAAATGGAAATTAAAAGTGTTTGCAATGATTTTATATCTTCCAAAACCTCTAAGAATCGCCCAAAATCGCCCACTGTTGCTCTCAAAGTTATCCATATGTGTTAATTGATGGATCTCCTCCTTTTTAGCACCACAAGTATGCTTGACTCAAGACCATGAGTTTTTTTTAGCATGGTCATGCGTTTTTGGCATGGTCATGTGTTTTGACCATGTGTTTTCAGCATGACCATGTGTTTTCAGCATGTCCATGTGTTTCTAATCAAGGTTGTGCTTTTTGCTAAAACTTAAATCAG